ATTCAGGGGAAGGCGAAGCGTGTGTGCCAGGTGCTCGTGTTTGAGTTGCGAATGTCCCGCTCTTGCACCCGCAGCGTGTGGCACCCAGGCAGCGAGGAGCGCCTGGACCTGTCAGGTGCTGAGCGGCTGCGGTCAGCTGTGCGGGGCCCGGGATGTCACAGAGCCCTTCGGGATGTAAATGCTGAACGTGTACGAGGTTCTCCGCGTTTGTCGGTGATGGGTTGGTGAGAGCCGAAGGTGTTGCAGACTAAAGTGGCTTTGGATATATCCCCCGTGGCGGCGTGGTGAGGATCCTGAAGAAGACGTGGGCGTTTTCGTGCTAGTTGACTGATACGTGCGCCGCGCTTTCCAATTTCCCATAACATACAAATAAGTGACTATTTTCCTGTTTCTTGGGGGGAGGGAGAGGAAGTGTCCCCCCTTCAGTGAGAGAACTAAAGCACGTTAGGAATGGGTGATACGCTCCATAGGTAACGTGTTGTACAGCACAGAAAGTCCAGGTGCTTCTGAAGCTAATGCCAAGTACAGTGCTCTTCTTTTAAATCTGCTTTAATTAGGGTAGTACTGCTGTCACAGAAGCAATTACTGTGTGCTTTTTTTCCCTTGAAGCTAAAGTTTATTTTTCCAGAATCACATATATGCAAGTTCAGAGATTTCCTTTTTTTTTTTTTTTTTTTCATCTTGCCAGGCTGTAGCCAGTTTCTGAGAGATGAACATAGTTTCCTATAAAACTTCCGGCTGACTTCATGACAACATTTTTAATGTGGTAGTGTATGTGGGAAGGACACAGCCCTGTCTTACATTCAGCAATTAGAAGCAAGTTATCAGTTGCCTTCAGTATTAAAGAAGCTGTTCTGATTTTACCTGAAGATATGCTCTTGAAGGCATTTTCCATGAACGCTGGTTTCTAAGCATGTTCAAATCATCCGTTTGAATAATATTGCTGAAATGCACAATAGCAAACAATACTGTGACTTACAGGGGAGAGGGATGGAAGGATTCTAGACTAAGACTCAACCTTACATAAAGAACCTGACCAAAGTTTCTCTTGAAACTTTGTGAATGATGTCTCTCTGTTTTCTTTCTTAATGCTATGTGAATATCAGGATAAATTCTGAGCTAAAGTTGCTTAATATACAGAGCAACAAGCAAAAGTCTGCTGAGAAGTCATATGATTGACTTGCAGATACCATCGTTTGTGCGTTTTTTGTAGGGTTGTAGGAGTGGTCAAACCTTGCCACATGAGCTGCAAGAAGCTTGTTAACACTTGTCAACGCTGTAGATTTTCTCTGGACTGCATAGATTTTTAATGTGACTTCTTAGAACTTGGAAGAAAATGTTCTAGTCAGTAAAATATGTCCATAGATTCTAGGGAGCAGGAAAACTGTATTTCATGAAGGAGCATGTATCGACTGCTAAGCAGGAAGTAGACTCATACAAGGTTTTGATCCTTGGCACAGGTCAGCCGTCATGCGTGGGTTCCATCAGCTCCCCATGTTCCTGCTCTGCCAAACGTTTGACTAAGTCTTACTTAAACAGAGGTGAAGGTAGTAAACACCTTACCCTAGCAGGCTAGAAGTGCAGGCTTAGTGAGGCAGAGTGGAAGAACTCACCTGTATTGAGGTTAAAGCATATAGCCCAAGGAAAGTGGCCCTTGGCTGTATAAAGGCTTTGGTACACAACAAGTAGGCTTAACAAGTATGACTTCCCCTAATATAGAATGTGGTTGGTTTTTTGTTTGTTTGTTTTTCCTTGATGTAGCTGCTCTTGAGAACAAGGAAGTTTGGAGGTGTTAGATATGATAACAAATAAACCACAGTTTGGGTTGTTTCCCTGGTAACTTGCACAAGGTTGTAGTGTGTAGGGGAAGGAAGCAGTGTGCCACCAAAGTTAATCTCTCAGCCCTGCTTTCATTTGCAGTTCATTCTGTTTCTCATTTTGGAATTAACCTCCCCGAACAATAAGTATGCTTGCTCAGGCACGCCTGTCTCCAGTTTTCTTGTTACAAGGGCTGCAGAAGTCACAGCGTTGACAGTTCTTCTCTTAAGCTAAAGCTAAAACTTCTTGGTGATACACATGCAGAGTGTCTGTTTGAAAATTTCAAGTTCCCATAAAACAGTAACTGGAGTGTGTTTTCAGACAGTGTAGTGGCTGTTTACTTGCTTTGGTTGCTCTGGATGTTTAACTAGGAGCTCTGGATTACACTCTGTGGAGGGGCTCATCTCTTGCCAGTGACTAGACAGGGCACTTGGGTTCCTGCCTCTGGCACTCTTGACCTATGCTAAGAGCAGATGTCTGTGGTAGGTGGGGTGAATGTCCCCCCTCTGCCATCTAATGAGACACCTCCTCATCAGTTGACTGAACATGTTCTCTTTCACGACCCTGTGTATAATGCATGTTGCTGAATTCTTCCCAGGACACGTGAAATGGCTGCAGATGACAAACGGTCTCCGACACTGGACTCTACCAGTGATCTACCTCATTCTCCTAGTAGTCCATCTCATCTCACTCACTTCAAACCTCTGACTCCTGACCAGGATGAGCCTCCTTTTAAATCAGCCTACAGCTCTTTTGTAAATCTCTTCCGTTTCAGCAAGGGTAAGCGCTTGGGGAAATGTTGTGTGCTGTCTGTTTTACTGATGCTCTCTGCTGCCACATGAACTTATAAAAACACCTCTGAATGTAAGAGCGTAATGTCAGATGGCTGGCCAAATGGATAGTGAGTCAGTTCTCTTGGGGATGTTGCATCTTGCTTTTGGGTGATGTAGTAGAGCTTTGCTGTGAGAGAAGATAGCGACCTTCTTGTGGCTAGAAATGTGTGACTGCCCATGAAGGTCAGAGACAAGGCAGTTCACAGGTAGTATTGTATAGCTTCTTAGTTGGGCATCTGGATTTCTTTTGCCTGTATGAAGTTTTCGAGGCTAAAACCAGAAGTAACCCTCTGCCAGCCTAAAGAAGCAAAATGTACGCTTGACCTTCCAATGCAGGTTCTTACTCTAGACTTCCTCCACTCCTCAACTTCCTGTGCATCTTATATGTACCCTCAGCTGGACGGCAGCTGAGCTGCAGTAAAGCAGCGTGTTTACAGGAAGTCCACGCTTAATTTGCATGGCTTAGGTCTTCCCCATCAAGAGGTCTAAAGTGTTGTGAAAGCTTTGTATATTAAAAAGTGCAACTTGATTTTGGCCTTTGTGCTACATGTATCCGGAAACATTTGTAGTCTCATTAGGCAAGTTCTTAAAGAACTATGTGAGTTTTTCTTTTTTTATTTCAAAAAAATATACTGCAAAGAATGGTAAATGAACGCACCTTTGTTTTGTACAAAAACTGTGTGTGCCTCTGCTGGAGATAGCAAACTGCTCAGCTGCTTTTGTTTAGTCTGTTCATTATCCTGCTCTGCTAATCATACTTCTGCAATGTTTGGGCTAGGGAAAAAGGGCCAAGATAACTTTTGCTTAAGCAAACTGATCTGTCCAGACTCTTTTATGCAGAATGAAAAATAATTACTTGGTATGACTGCTATTAGTTTGCACAGTTGAACATCACCTGTCATTATTAATTTATTGAAAGTAACATAAGATGTGGTCAACATTGACTTCGCTTATTTGCCTCTGACAAATGTAGCTGGAGTCAGCAAAGTATTGTGTTGAAAGAATGGAAAAAACAACCTTGAAACAGCACGTGAAATGAGCATGTTACTGGAATCAATGAGAACCTGTCTATACTTGATCCTCTGATGGAAAAGAGTGGTTTATTAAAGGCTGTGGTAACTTTAATGCTAACATAACTCAAAAACTTTTTTCACGGCAGAAGCTGATATTCAAGTGCAGCTATTCCATATAGCAAGAATAACTTATGCTTGCCAGTTTGTGTTTTTTTAGGGATATTTCTGAAATAGCCTGAGCCTTGACAGGCAAGTTCTACATACTGGCCTGTTTCCATGTTTTGTATGGTACTTTTCAGGCTAAAAATTCATGTCTCTTTTTTAAGTATAATCATGATCCACATGAACTATTTATGAGAGTTTTTCACCCTTAGTTTTGCATGCACTGCTGATTTTCTTTATCATGTCTGAACAATTGGTTTCTTGCTTTTTGTCAACTCCAGATGATGGCAGGCTTTCATCCTCGGCAGAGAGAGCAGAGGCAGGACAGAGTGATCCACAAGCATTGAGTGGTGGCTGGTCCAGTCCTCAGCATCCTACCAGGGCTCAGTCTCTGAGGTCACCGGTTCCTTACAAAAAACAACTGACTGGTGAGCTGCAAAGAAGATCTTCTACAACCTTGGGTAATTTCAGCTCTTTGTGCTACAAGAGAATGTTGTATTAGCCAGTCTGGGATGCTTCAGAGTGAGGTGGAAGGAGGTGAATAAAGGTTCGTTGACTTTCTAGATAGATAGCAGAATTTGGTATCAGGCTACACTGCTTCTGTTAGTGAGGTTGTGCTTTAACCTTGGAAGCCTGTTCCCTCTACCTTTCGCAGTGTTCCAGCAAGATAAGACACTGTTGGTGGTGGCTCTGCTGTTGCAATTACAAAACAGTCTGGAGCAAAAGAGGCTGCCAAAACACATCCAACATCTTAAAGTCACTTGAACCTTGATCCTGAACATTTCTGCTTTGTCTTCAGAAACTTTGGTTTCTTAACAGCCACATGCAAACTATAACTTTAGAACTCAGTCTGAGTAGGGTTCATGTTTGTGTCTTCAAAGGAGTAGTAAATGCAGGTTTTTTGCTTGTAGCTGTTTTGAGAGAAATTGAGTAGGAAGTTGTGGCTAACCCTTTTTTATTCCTAGCCTTGGAACTATTGCCAGATTCCAGACTGAATCTCTTTTAGCTGGAATGGGAATTGAATGCGATTTCAAAGGTGCAAATGTGTAATGGCTTTATGAAGGTCTGGAAGAGCTAGTAAGCAGACTGCAGGGGTTCCTCTTGAGAGTTGCGTGGTTGCTGTTGGCTGTTTGTGTTAGTCTTGAGCAAACTGCTAAGCTGGGTAAAAATCCTGTGCAAACAAATTGGATCTTAAATGTTGTTAATGTGTATGAGATTTTGAGAGAGATGTCTAGTCTTGGTAACCAGGCAAAAGTCCAGTATGGATAACTAGCATTTGCATCTGAGTCATTCGCATGCTGTCTTAATTGAACACATTCATCATCTTCCTCCTTTTCCTCTAGTACTGTTTGTGCTATTCAGTTGTACCTGTCACAACAAACCAATTAAAGTTTGGTTTTGGTTATTGGTTTTTTTAATAAACTTTTTCTCAAATGCCTCAAGTACAGTAGCGTTCTCTTGGCTGGTTTGCCAGTTTACCATACTTCATTCTTAGTCATCTCTTGTAAATCACTTGGAAATAATCTGGGGGATTACAGGTTAGAAAACCTTAGGTGAGGTAGGTTTTTTTGTACTTAGAAGGCAGAAATAATCTTGTTTTTGACTTCCACTGGGAGCAGGCAGACAGAAAACTGAGACAGTCTAAGGTGTGAGGGGAAGAACTGTTACTTCATTATTCCAACTCCTTTTCAGGACCTCCATTCATGTCCTTGGATTTGAATGGAAGTATGCTTAGAAAAATGTGGTGATGAATCAGCCTGGAAAGAACTAAAGTTAGACCAAGCAGGAATTGCTGGACTTCTTGAAGAGATTTCTGTGATACTGAGTGGCCCGACTCATTGTTGAGCATCATCCCTCAAATAACCTTGGTGCTGTAACAAACATGAACTATGTGTAATGCAAGTAAAAGTGTACTGGAGTGGTGAGAAGGTTTCAGGGGAGTTTTTCAGGTCATCTCACTGTATTTGAAAATGGCAAAAATACTTGCATCTTCCCTTTCCAAAAATTGGGCATTGCTTTTTTTTTTTTTTAAGCAAACTATAGAAAATTATTTTTCTTGCCTTTTTTTTTTTTCTTAAAAGGTGCCGAATAATCAGGTCTTTGAGGATTTCTGAACATTGAGCAGAGTAGAGTTTTACTTCTGTCATTAGAGTTGATGCTGGGCTGCACAAGTAGTCAAAGAAATTATTCTCATTTCTAAAGAATGAAAAGTGTGAAAAGAAGTGATGTGATTTACATAAACACCTAGGTTGGTAGGTCAGTTCACCCGCTAAGTTCTGTGACAGTGGGGTGTCTAATCGAGTAGAGTTTTCTTGCAACCTTGTATCTGCAGGCCTGCAAATAACACTCTAGGCTTGGCCATTACTCAGATACTTCCTAACTTCGGCAGGTGCAGACAGGAAAACGAGTAATTCCTTCACAAAGGTCTCTCTGGCCTACTTGAGTTTAAACAACATGCCAATCTTAAGCAAACGGGAAGGAATAAATAAATAAAAGGCTGCTGGTGCCTCTAAACAGTGATAGTATGAATCGGCTCACACAGATGCTGACTTCCACCCCTCATCTGTCTATCAGCCTGCGCTGTCTGCATGGCAGATGTTCTCGTTGCTCAGGGACCATGCTGGCTGACAACTGCAAGTGCAAAACAACAAGGAAGGATGGTGGGTTTTGTAGGAAATTGTCTAGCATCAAATATGTAGGATTTCAGTTGTGCGTTGCCCTTCAGGCCTGCTTACGTGAAAACATTATAAATGGCACCTTACGTTATAAAGCACTAGCTTTTGTGAAAACAGGAGAAGCTGCTGGATGCCTGGCTTATGTCAGAGGTGCTTTGTGGGTTGTACAGCTGAAGAACCAGTGCTGAGACTCTGCATTGACTTCTGTGGCCTCCCTCTTGGGTAACCTGTTGCATCCTCATGTGCTGGAGTAGGGTGCTGGGGAGCTTGTGTCACTTCTACAGAGACAGTGGTATTGGACTGCAGGTCAGTGTGTGCTGTCTGCTGAGTGCTTTCAAGGGGCTGGATTGAACCAAAATAGTCTCGTGCTGAGACTATGTCACAGCTTGCAAATCCAGTTTAAGGAGAACTGGAAATGCTGACCAATTGGAGAGGGAGCATTGGTAGTAAAAGCACTTCTAGCTTGTTACCCTGTCATGCAGGGTAATGCTGTTAATGCTAGACAGTTGTAGCAGGCTGGCAGTAATAGGGAATGGCAAAGGAGATTAGTAGGAGTAAGGAAAGGCCAACGATCATATGAGAGCGAAGGAGGCCTGAGGAAGGCATGTGGTGGTTACTGAGCATCACAAAGAACATGACTTATTACCAGAGCATCTTTTCTATTGAAAAAGGTTTTGCAAAATGAAAATGCATGTTGTGAAATGAAGTTAAGGACAGCTTTCAGGCTTTTCATGTCAGTACTTTGTGCGGCAGTGACTTGAGGAAGATGTGATGTTTGAGCTGTGATAGTGAACTTCAATATGAAGTGACATGCTTTGGCAGCGAATAACTAGAAAGCAATTCATGTTGATTTGTGTTAGCAAAACTGTGGTGTCCCTGGTGGGGGTATCTGTTTATTGTTGAAACTGTGTGAAGCTCTCTGTTCTACCACTTCTGTTAGTGCATGGTAAGCTCTGTTCCTGTCAACTGAAACTAGCAGTTCAGTTGCAACAAAGTAGTTATTACAGTGAATGACAAGTCAAAAATACAGCAAAATGAATACTAAAATACATAAGGTCATGAAAGAAACTCTGGAAAAATATATTTCAGTGATTCAGTAGTTGAGGATACAGAACAATTGTGTGACTTTCTGAGCAAATCTTTCTGTGGCTTCAACTCAGAAGAGTGTACTGGGTAGGTAATCTTAGCTGGAATGGTATTGCAGGTTCCTTCCCAGTGATCACAGTTCAGGTGGGGAGTGTAGGAAAAAGAGGAGAAAAACATATAATATTTCAGAGGTTGTATAGGTTTTGCCAAGAATCAGCAGCCATGAATACATACAGGAAGGATGAGGGTTGCTGTTGAAATATGAGAACTTTTTGTCTGTTTTTAGCTGTAGGAGTTAGTTTTTAGCTTAAGAAGGATAAATAGGTTAGAAATAAGTAAAATTGTAAATCTTTATGGAGTTCTTTTGGTATATTCAGGTTTTGTTCAGTGAACTTGGGAAGGGAATGGATAGGAAAACCACAATTGTTGCATAAACTGCTAATCCTGAAAAGATGTGTTCCACACTCAGGTTAGTGTGTTATATTGAATGGCTGAGATGTAGCTAGCTTTTGTTGATTAAATGCAAAATGATATCAAGTGAAAAATGAGTGTCTTATGAGTATTTGACTAGGGGAGAAGACTAAATGGATGAAGATATGGTAGAGTTGTGGACTAAGAAAGCATAAGGAATCTATATGGACCATGAGGGAGCTGTTTTCACTTCCTGCAGTTGTTTTTGTGCTGGCTGGACAGTGAGAAGCAAAAGTTTGTGGAGCTGATCTGTTTGTCATAAAAGATTAAATAACATTTAATAAAGTCTATCTTTATTTTAAAAACCTAATTTCTTGCATGGTTTTTTTTTTTTTGGGAGTGGTGTGTTTTTGTGTGTGGGGTGTGGGTTTGTTTTTTTTTTTAGTAGCATATACTGAGTTTACTGCTTCAGGAGCACTAAAAAGACTGTTACTTAGATGTGTAAATGTGGTCAACTCTCTTGGGATCAAATCAAAAGAATATATCTCTTCCGAAGTGCATCTGATGGCAGTTGGGACGATGATGCGGACAAAGCAAGAAAAATACTCTTATAGTTTCAGCGTTTGTGGAAGGGAATATGATTTTTGCAGATTTAATGGTAAAATAAAGAAATACAGTTACAATGCTGAAAGCAAATGCATCTGTAAATTGTGTGTGCATTAACTGAGAAAATGGCTGTTGTATTTATAGTCACAGAATTTGGATCGGGAGTAGAAGTTAACCTAAGATTGATCCATGTGAATTCTTTTATAAGAACGGTGTTCTAGACACAGTGTGTCGTATGCTGCAGGAACTGTAGCTTCTTATATTCATCCTATACGGTGTGTTTTTCCCCAGAAGGGGGGAAATCACAGGACTGAAAAGGAAAAGAGCCAGCTGAATTTTAATCTGAGAATTGGTCAGGTTCTTTAGTTTAGTTTAGTAATGGCACAGCTTAGCCATGTGCTCCTACCACCTATGGCATGCTTTTTCTAATCCTTTTGACATTGTTTTATGTAACACAGAAAAGGGCGTTTAACTAACAAGAGAACCAGAGTGGAGTTAACTGTGGCATTTCCTCAGTACCGTGTATGTTCATACTTTGGGAATCACTTGCCTGACAAGATTTGTAGCTAGTTATGCAGGAGGCCTGATAGTAGTTTTTGAATTGGAAGCAACGTTCCTGGAAAGAAGATACTTTTAAATTCAAATGTTACAGCAGGAAAGTCCGGGAAGTAAATGCATCATAGATCTTGTGATAGAAGTAAGGAGGAGCCAAAGTTTTCTATGGTATTATCAATGTTTTCTTGAAATATTCAAGTCCCTTTAATCACCCTAAAATACTCAACTTGGTAATATCCAAAAGTATATTTGTTTGATTTAAAAAAAAAAAATAATTCCAAGTGGGTGGCCACAGAACTGAGTGTAAGCTCTCTAGAATCTCTTTAAAGTCATCTCCTGTTGTGGATTCTTTGTTGTACATAGGTCATTAAGCAGCTATAGGTGCACTGGTTAACTAAAACTATGTACTAAGAACCTGAAGAGAAGGCATGGAATCCCACAGTTTTAATCACGTTACTCTAGGGGTTTTGATCTGCGCACAAAGGAACAGCCTGGTGTTACTGCACAGCAACAGTTAACATGCTTCTCCTAGTGCTGTCAGCGTTCCGCTGACATCAGTGGTATCTGAAGCAGTAAACAACGCAGCCATGTCTGTTCTTGCTGTACTAGGGGGAATAAAAATAAAATACTAGTCAGATGGAGAGCAGCGAAGCTGGTAAGAAACTTTAAACTTTTCTGAAAAGTTGTTGATGTAAAAAAATGACTCTGAAAACGTTTAAATGTTCAGGTAAATACAGCGCTGTGTTTGCAGATCTTTCTGGAGAGAAGGATCCTATTTGTAACTCGTACAGCAATGCTTCCAAGTAATCCAGCATTTTATAGGAAAGAAATTAACTGCATTGCGTTGTTATTCAGGAGTCTCTTTGCTGTAGTGCGTCAAGAATGCCTGTACAAATTCTCAGCAACTTGGCATTTTTCTTAGCAAAAAAAAAAACAAAACCAAAAGAACTCAAAAAAGTGAACTGGGTGCATTTTATTCTGAATGACTGTTTCTAATAGAAACTGAGCAATTGAGTCCTGAGACTTGCCCTAGTCATTTATAAATAAGTTCAGGTTAAGGTATTGACTTATACCAGTCCTAGAACGCAAGTGATATTGTTGCAATTATTTTGAAAGTATTTGTATCCTCGAGGGCATTTTAAAATGAGACTTCAGTGCTTTCTAAAAGGCTATTACGAGATTCATCTAGTAGGTTGACAATAACTTCACTCTAAAAGATGTTTTCATCCTCAGAACTTAAATCGATTCCTGTAAACACAGACGGTGGTATTTGGAATGTCAAAGCAAGTTATCTGGCATCAGAAGCGGCTTTTGGGGCAGGGGGTGATACACACTGTGACTTTGTAAAGCGCTTACATATGTGAACGTTTCTCCTTCTAACGGGGTTTTATGTTGTGATGTAAATGTTGACTTATCGTGGAAGAAATGAATACTACTCTCCCTTCCCTTCCAGACAATCGAAGGAAAGTAGAACCGCCTCTTGGAGGTCATGATCCTCGTACAGCAGTTCAGTTAAGAAGCCTCAGCACCGTTTTAAAGCGCCTCAAAGAAATCATGGAGGGGAAGAGCCAGGTACTTCTTCTGGGGGATTTGTAAGCCAAACTATCTGGAAACTGAACTGTTTACTGGGCTTCTCTGAGCTTTGTTTTTAGATACATCAAGGGTTTTTTTTCAAATGTTTGAAGGATGAGTGAATAAACTCAAAAATCCTTGTTTGGTGGCAGGGGTAACAGTTTTAAGTTGATGCTGACTTTTGACATGTCGAACCTGTCATATTGTGGGAGTGAAACACTGCAGTTGCTCAGCTTCTTGAACTTGGACCAATGCTCTACTTTTTGACTCCTTCCACTTCTGTATTACTTAATCTAGTATTACCTGATGGTTTTCTTCCTTGAAGGCTAACCGTGGGTGGGTGAAACACATTGACTGTCACAAATAGTAATGAGTATTCTAAGGTTGAATTAAATCTGCTACTCTACTGTGGTAATGATGGGTCAGCAATATGTGCTTGAAAGGCTTGTCCTCTTAATCAGTTTTGATTCAACTGGATAAAGATCTGGTGGTTGCTACTGCCTTGCTGATTTCACCTCCCTCTGCTGTGTTGGACTATGCCTTTAAAAGGAGGATGTGTTTGAGAAAAGAAGCCACAACTATTCATAAGTGATGATATAAATAGCTGTGTCTGGGAGCAAGACATGAACAGGCAAAAGTACATTTAATTAAACTAAATGAAGAGGAAAAAGGCTTTTGGTTTGGTAGCTTTTACAAGTAGACTTTGAGTAAACTCCCTTAGCTTCCAGTGCTATTCTCCTTGTGAGAGTAACTTTGTTTTGGTAGAAAGGGTGATGTTTTGAAGGTGAAACAAAAGCCTTTCATTGCAGTAAACAGGGTATTGAGTGTGGCTCCTACTAGTATTTCAGTTTGTGGCAGCTTCTGAAGGCCCTGGAGATTTTTAGATATCTTTGAAGCTATTGGAGAAAGTGTTCAAATGTACAGGATACAGCAGTAAATGACTGTCTAGATCCTTCTCTGAAAGAGGTATTTTAGTTGTCAGCATGCTGACTTCTGTACAAATGGTCCTTGACTGCAGCCATGTGTTGCTTGAGTCACTCCAGGCAACAGTTTCTTCCTACTGTGGACTTGGCCTGTCTCTACAGTCTCTTTCTCTTTTACTGTTGTGGAAAGCATGGGTCAGATCCTGGAAGGTGCTGCTCTAAGCAAGCTCTGCTGCTAACGGAGGCCAGAATTCTGTTCTGAACTCTTCCTTCTAGGCTGTTCTTGTCATGAGTGTTGGCTCTGACTTGAGCAGGGCAGAGAGCTGGAAGGTATCACCAGGAACGACTGGGTTTCTGCACACCCAGTCGTATGCAAGTGGGGCAGAGGCAGTGTGAGAGAGATGGTGGGCAAAGGCACGGCTGCTTAGGACAACCTCTCTCCATGTGGCAGAACCAGAGAGTTGGCTTATCCTGCAAAGTTGCAGAAAAAGCTGTTAATCGGCATCCCCTTCAGGTTTGCAGCAATGCCTTGGCAAAGCTCTTCACTGTGTTTTTCCTTCTTGAAGCTTAGTACTCATAAATTTCTAGACTCTCTTGAATGCTAGACTGTCTTGAGCAGTCTTTGACCTCTTTCTGTGTGAGTTGTCTCGGGTGAGGATAGCATGAAATTTTTGTCTTGCTGATCATAGCTGTTTTGGTCTCAAAATTGGTCTAGCAGCGATGTCAAACTTTGCTTATTGAACATCCAAAAATAAACACCAATTCAGGGCATGGTCAGGTGGGGTTTTTTTGACTTTGTGAAAATCAGAGTATGGATCACCTTTCTTCTCTGTAGTTTCTCTCTTCTCGGATTATTTCGAGAAAATTCTTGCAGCACTTTCTCTTCTGAAGAAAAACCCAGAGTATTCAGTCCCTCTGAAAAGGCTCATTGCCAGAACTGAACTCTAGCAAGAGTGTTTCAGGCAGAGCTGTCACGTGACCATTAGCAGTTGTCTCCATCCATGGTAATTGTAGCTGATGTGCTCAGAATCATAATTGAGAGATTTGTCTTGCTCTGTTTATAGCTACAACACCAAATGGAAGCTTTAACTCTTTATTTTCAAGTCTTAGAAACAAGACCAAAATTCCCGTGGCTGCACACATGCTGTAAATGAGTATATGTCATTATCTGCTGAAAGTGTATTCCACAGTTGTCTTCACATAGCAGTTAACCTGGAATTTTGAAACAATATCAATCTGGGACACAGGCTTTTACAACTGTTTACCGAGGTTTTGAAGAATTTGAATATAACAAGAAATATAACAAAATATAACAAAACTTTTGAATATAACAAGAAATAAAACTTTTTATCTGTAATCCTTTTGAAGTACATCCCAGTATTAGCTGTTGAAATTATCTTCCTGCACTGGTAATTCCTGATACCTTGATTTACCCTTGGGTAACAGCTTCAACTAATGTGTGTGGGTTTTTTAATGTGGTGTGGTGTTTTTTTTTTTTGTTTGTTTGTTTGTTTGTTTTTTCTTTTAACTGTGCTAGTTGAGGCCCTGTCCTGTGCTAGGGACAAATGAGGGGAAAGAGCAATCAGTACTTTATATGTTTGTTTCTTTCTGATTTTTTTATCTACAGCTCATGATATTTTTTTTTTCTGCTTTGCGTCCATCTTGGATCAAGAATGCAAAGGCTTACTACGTTTATTCTCACAGTTAAGAACTCTCAGCCTTCTGGCTCCCTGTAAAAGTGCATGAAAAATCCTTTCTGTGCATACGTGTGCTTATACCAAGAGTGTGCACACACGTGCATATATGAATATACGAAATGATCTTTTTCACATGCACAGTCTACAAAGCAATTGTGAATCTAAACATGCTTTTTTATGTGCAAAAAAAGTTTTTCTCTGCTGCCTTCCTGTGTAGGACAGTGACTTGAAGCAGTACTGGATGCCTGACAGCCAGTGTAAAGAATGCTATGACTGCAGTGAGAAATTCACCACCTTCCGGCGGAGGCACCACTGCCGACTTTGTGGGCAGATCTTCTGTAGTCGATGCTGCAATCAGGAAATCCCTGGAAAATTCATGGGCTACACAGGTAGGGTTTATCTGTTGAGAAGCAGAACATTCTCTGTGTGCTCAGCTCTGGACTACTGTGTTTTAGATTCTGTCATTTGCTTGAAAATGCTGCACAGTTGTCTAGTGGGCTTAGACGTAAGCATAAAGAATCACAGGACCTAATTCTACCGATTTCTTCATGCACAGCGGTGGATTATGTCATACCTGCTTATATTTACCAACATTGCATCCATGATGACAAAACAAATATGGCTGCTACTTAGCAAGGATGTTCACTACAAAACGTGTGCTCAAGTAAAAGCTGGTCTTACTAATGGTACATTTTAAAATGTAGTGAGCCACATGTTCTAATTGAGGGTGAGGGAAACTCTTTCAAATACCAGTTACCAACCTCTAGACATCTCCTGATGGAGGTAGTGATTTCCAGACATCAGCTGGTATGTCATATCTGACTGGCTGTTGTACCATGATTTCAGTGTGCACATTCGCTCTCTCTCCCCACCCCTGCAACCTGTCTTTCTCTTACAATCATGTGTTATATCATTTGACTTGGAGAAATTTTCATGGCCTATAATTATCTGGGGTTTTGGTCTTTAAGGGAATATGAGAACTAGACTTAAATACGCAAAGAGGTTTTGAAACAGGAAATCCTTGTTTTCCCACCACTACATGCCTCTGATCCTGTAGGAACAGAGTACTATTTGTTCCTGTTCACTTACACTCTCTGGTTCCCCTTTCCATAGGGGATCTCCGAGCCTGCACTTACTGCCGCAAAATAGCCTTAAGCTACGCACACTCCACAGACAGTAACTCCATTGGAGAAGACTTAAATGCTCTGTCAGATTCTGCGTGTTCTGTATCAGTGCTGGATCCTGGCGAGCCACGCACACCAGTTGGGAGCCGTAAAGCTAGCCGCAACATCTTTCTGGAGGAGGATCTAACCTGGCAAAGGTAAAGTGAATGGCTTCATGCTGAGCTCCAGAATCTTAACTGTTTCTTCAGGCTGACACCTGCTTAGACAAAAGTCGGTGGCTTCCATCTAGGAAACTTAGAAGTGTATCTCCTATAAAAAAATGTAATCTTCTGCTTGCTTCTAGTATTCTTTTCAAGTTGAAGTGTGGAAAATTTTCTAGTAGAGTTTTAAATTGCTTGCAGTTCTTCTTTTAATCTATTTAGTGATTCTGTACCAGTGACAGAGCAGGCTTTTAGCTTCAGAGTTTAAAAAGACAAAATGAAAAAAACATCCCTTCTAACCACCAATGTATTGAGGGACAAGTCAATGTAACACTGACGCTTTACCTGTCAGGTTTTGGATTGGGCAAGAGAATGAGAGATGCTGTCTGTATAAATCGGAGAGAAATGGTGGAAGTAACTATCTGTTTCAACTAAAATGGAATTGAAAGGACTCATAGAGGTTCTCTGATCTCCTTTCAAAGAGTGTTTCTTCTTATTGCTCTTGAATGAAAGTACTTTTAGTTTTGGAAGATGAATAAAACACTGCTTTTTCTCAAGTGGTACACAAGTTAATTTCTGAGGACCTTGATTTAATTTAATGTGGGGGAAGGAAGAAACAGTCAGATGTGTTTGTGCTCGTTTCCCTAAAAACAGAAGAACAGGCAGGTGTGAAACTACTGAGGCAGTCTTGAGTCAGAGCCTTTCTTTAACTGGCGGGTGGTGTTAGTGACATGTGCCTCTCAGCAGATCTCTTCTAGTGGTTCTGACAGTATTAAAAGAAAAACCTCAAAAACAGCTGTCTTCAGAAAATGCCAACTCTTGCTTTGCATGTTGCTTTTCAAAGTATGATATTCTTATGTGGAAGCAATTAAATAATGAGCTTTAGGCCTAAATAAAGGAAAGTGGTTCTGGTTTAACGTCATGGTCATATAAAGCAGTAATGTTGCAATGCTTGGGATAAATACTACCAAATTGTGAATTAGGGAATAAGTATGTGCACTTGGAATGCTTCTCTTCAGGTATACAAAACAATAGAAGGTATCATTAGTTCTGTATTCAAATGTGTTATTAGTATCTTTATTATGGCAATTCAACAGCTTGTAGACATGAACATGTGCAGAAAGTATTTATATCTTTATTTTGGGCAGCTTGTAGCACTGGAGAAAAATACTGCCTGTTCTTGAAAGGCTGATAACTCTTTTTGTACTACATCACTTAGTCTTGTTGGGAGAGACTGGGTAAACTTGGGCTGCTTTTGTGTGTGAGAGGGAGAGAGATTGAGATTAGGTAGTTTAGTATTGCTTTAGGAAGTTTAAAATTTTTTTCAGTGTTTGTTGCTCTTGAAATGTAAAACCTTGCTGCGGACTACAGTGCTTTTTTCGATACTGCATTTGATACGTTCCTGATTGATACCATCAGAGGTTTAAACTCAAGACATTGAACTTGAATGACACAACAGTGGAAAGTGGCAATTCAGCTTCATAATGGAAGCAAAGTTTTTGTTGCTTGTTTGTGTTTTGTTTGTTTGTTTTTTTCCTAATGTGTGGCTTCTATGAGAGAAGTAGTTTGCTTCAGAAGAAAACTTGAGAGTCTTTTCCCAAAATAATCTATCTGAGATAAGACTCTTGCCTCTTCTGCTGTCATATGCTGCAAAGCAGTGAGAAAAGCATTTTGGAGAGTGATGCTGTATTCTCTTGCTAGATGTTGCTCTCCTCTTTGAGCAGTTAGAACATAGAGGCATGGGCTCCTGCTTTAACTAGCTTGAAGGGCTGTGTCCTTTAGAAGTGGTGTACTCTGGGCAAGTGCAGCTACTCAGACAAAGTTGTACTGTGTACATTTTCTCATGAAGAGCGTTTATCATGCTAGTAACCTGTCTACATCCCAGAGTACAGCTAGTATGGCTGTGTCAGTTGGAGTGTAGTGGCTTATATCTGATACAGTTTTGCAGTAGGAATGTATATTGATGGTGTATGCACATCTGCTCTCCTTCCTCCTTGGGTGGAAGGAGAAGGAGGGCAAAGGTGATAGTGATCAGGTTGAACGGTTACAAAAGGTTGTCAGGCTATCTCGGTAAAGCTGTCTAGCGATAGCTATAGATAGCATTGCTTGGATTGCAGAGATGATGTGCTGGGGAGATGAGGGCAATGCCTCTACCTGCAAAGTGTGGGGTAGCAGCCTGTAAGGAAGGGGAATCTGTAAGAAAGGCATATAGTGGAAGACGGTGGGAAGGCAGGATAACACGAAAAGTGGGAAGAGGCTGGATTGTCCAAGACTAGAGTCCGAGGGGAGAAGACTTGAGCACTGTCCTCCAGTGCTGCAGATATCATTGTCCTACAGATGTGGAAAGATTTCCCTATTCCCTCATTGATTTAACACTCATGAATGAGAGGTGCGAATGAGAAGTAACGTTGTAATTAACTGTATTTTAGTTCCAGCCATTTTGACACTGCTGCATGTGGCAAATCTTTTAGAAATCTATAACATGCTCCTTTTTCTTGCAGTTTGATTCACCCAGACTCTTCAACTACCACACTGTCTGCACGCCTTGGGTCTGTCCAGGAGGATGCAGGGAAGTCACCAGCTAGGAACAGGTAAACTAATTATATCTGAGTATCTTCTGTTCTGGATGCACTCGTAGCACACTATTCACTGTAAAGCCTGTATTTTGGGGCTTGTTTTTACTGAGCATGCTGTTTCATGTCTAAAATGAGACACCCCATTACACATATGTAATGGTAAGGAAATGCAATTTATGTACATATTCATATTAATAAATGTACTACTTTTGAAGAACCTGTAGTTTGCTGCTGAGTCAGTCAAATAGAGGTGGTGGTGAGGAGGGCAGAAAGGAAAAGAAGTGGCTAAGAAAGGTGGAGTTCTGAGGAAGCTGAAGAAAAGGGAGTAACAACTTTGGCAATGGGAGGCAAAGACTGAGGTCATGGAGGAGCAGAGATGTAGTTTTTGTTTGTTTTGGTGTTTGTTTTTTCCCCCCTCCTCTATCTGCTTCCTGTGCTCTTCTATTAAGTATAATCTCATTTAATTTACCAGGCTTCCTTAGGCTAAAATCCCATCATAGGTCTTTATGCAAGAGTGCTGGAATGAACTCAGAAATGTTCAGGAGACTATAAGCTGTGAAAGTTTGAGCTTTATCCCACTAAATAGGCTGGTATTAGAACAAGTAATTTCTACTTCACAGTGCTTCTGCTATGGTTCTAGTTAAATACTTCCATTGTGGTTAAATTGGGGAAATAAAGGTGAGGCACAGATACGAGGAACAGAGCAAAGATAATCCAAATTTCAGTGTTGAGGTTAGGAGACATTCAGATACTTCTTTGCATTGGTGTTAAAGGAATGCAGAAAGCTTAGCAATTTGGAAGGATCTGGCAGGACCAGCGAAGACTAGGGGACCTCCTCTGAGAAGGATGCTGGGTGCATCTTTCAGGGAACAGACTGCTTGGAGGCTTTATCTTCTGTATGATGGGGACAGTTAGGGGGAGATGCTCACTGACTGTACAGCTGGCAACCAAAGATCTTACCTAGGGGAAGTAAAATACTGGTGAATAAACTAGTACCAAAAATCGAATCTGGGCAAACGTGGCAAAGAATCCAGAGTTAAAAGTTCAGTGCTGAATTACTGCAGTGACGTCAAGAAGTGAATGAGAAATGAGACCTTAAGGATGCTCTCCTGCTTCCCGTTTGAATTCATGTTGTCTATTTTAAAGGGCCTTTGCTGTTCGCTCACATGTGCGGTAGTAGGAGGGTTCTAAGATGGACCTGGCAGGCCCAAACTACTAATTCAAGTTAAATTTTAACTCTCTGGCTATTCATAGCCTCACTATAGTACTTATCTGTCTGGACTCACACTTGAGAAGTAACGATGAGGTATAACCTACCTCTGTCAAAATTCTGAACCTGTGGAAACAAAGCTGTTGGCTTTGGGCTAAGCAATGCTAGACTTTAGATCTTCTCAAAGCTACTGTAGATGTTTCTTTGGAGCAAGCTTGACCATGTCTCTCTCTATATGAGGTGACACAAAAAAGGATGCAAATTGAGTGCATTTAGGTGCAGGTGGCAGAAGTTACTTAGTATTATTTGTTTTCTTTCTAGGCAGCGGATATATAGATTTTTTTTTTTCTCAGACTGATTATTTATGGGGAAAAAAACAGCACAACAGGCAAATACTGCAAGCAGAGGGATTTGAACTTCTTCTTTGCAGGTTCTTCTAAAAATAGGGATTTTCATTGCAAAATCTCCCCTTCTGCTTTTAGAAAAGATAAATACAATAAAGTCCCAAATGTAATTGGTGATGATAATGACACAGGTATGAAATCTGACTGTTCTAACTCTTGCTTAATGGCCTCTTACACAAGTTAAAAATCCCTGCTGCTTACAGGTAGGTGGCATAGTTAAAGTAGCTGTTGTGAAACAGCTGAGAGGAGTGCTTAATGACGGACTTTCGTGTCAGTCTCATCTTCCCCATAAGAATGCTTTCTGTTAGATGCATAACTCTGCCAATTCTAACTTTGTTTAACTTGAGAGCATCTGAACAGTAGAATACTGTCAGAGTTTTAGGCTACCTTGAATGCCTGATGAAAAGTTTTTGCTTATCGCCCCTAGATTTTGTACCAATGTAGTTTCCTTTGATTTTGCATAAATGGCTAAAAAGGACCTAACTAAACCCCTTTATCAGCCCAGTATTCCTCCTCAAGAGACAGGATGAAAAAGCAGTGATTTTGAGACTATTGTGCCTTCAGTGCCTACTTCCTTGCGGTACAAAAGCTGAAATAGGGTAGCTTTGTTATTTCATGCCTGGCCTCACCTGCATCATCCATTGAGAATTCTTGGGAATAACTGGAGTGTCTGTTAGCCAGTTAGCAAGCTCTGTGAAGTAATCTGAGTTTCATTCCAAAGGCTAGAGACTGGCAACAGTACTCGTTACTGAGACTGCTCCAAGCCTCTTGAGTCGGGTCAGCATTGTCATTTTTAAGCTTCCCTGTTGCTGTATCCAGAAGCCTTTTTCCATCCTCACTTCTTAGAGTGCCCTTAGCATGAATAGCTTACGCTGCATGCTTTTTGCTGCTGCGCGATCAGAAGTTGCACTCTAGTTATTCAGAGGCTTAGACTACTTGTGCGATATTGGAGCAGAGAGAATCTGGAACTTGTATTTGCATTTGTAAGTTTGCAATGATTATTGTGAAATGGGGTGTTTGTATTGGTGTGTGTAGCTAAGATTTCCTAACAACTGGGCTGAGATCAGGTGGCTGCTCCATATTGCAGTACAAGGAAAATTGCCAGATGGACTGACCTCTGACTTCAGCAGACAGTTTAGCCGCTCTAGAGAACAGATACTCAAACTTTCAGACTCTGCAACCTGTCAGCCATATATTTCAGAGAGCTGAGGAGAAGGAATTTTAAATTGGTCAAGGAGAGACAGAATCTCAGTGCCCTGTTACAGGGATCCTGGAGTTGGCTGTCCTTGCTGGCATGTGTCTTGCCTCCAAACCACTGGAGCTGCTTATTACTCAGCATCCTGTCCCTTCCCCAGTCTATTCAAATGCAAACATATATGAATTGCTGTGCCTAAACCTAGTTCTAACTGCTTCTTACAAAGAGCTTTACAAAAGTTTGTTTAACTTAGATGTTCCAAAGCAATACACTTGCTTCCTAGGGATCCTTTTTTCTGCTTTGACAGAAGAGGAAGTTTTAAGCAGTAAGTCTATACTGAGAAGAGTGAACAATGTCACAGGCTGAAGTTCCTTTTTAGCATGCTACGAGATCAATGCCTGCTCTGGTAAAGCACCGCGCAATGAACGCTTGTACTTCAATTCTTCTCTCTTCCACTACAGATCAGCCAGCATCACTAACCTGTCACTGGATCGCTCAGGCTCACCAATGGTGCCTGCCTATGAGACATCTGTCAGCCCCCAGGCCAGTCGCACACATATGAAGGCCGAGACCAGTGAAGATGAGCGCAAAATCCTTCTGGTACTTTTCAGACTTCTGTTTGTCTTGCTCTGTGAAGGCAATGAAGTTTGCCTTTCTTTTGTCATGTAGCAGGAGTATCTTGCTGCCTTTAAAGGCTCTTGTCTGAGCACTCTTACCTGGATGCCTCCTCCATGTTGTGCAGGGATGAGAATATTGATGCTACTTTGGACACTTCTGTCTTTGTGAAACAAGTCATAGTTTAATGTGATGTTTGCATAAAGGTGTTGACAGTTTTAGTCTTAGGAAGCGTGTTATGCAGTGTGGAGTCAGTGTATGGTGGCTTCTTGTGGGTTAAACCTGTCATGCTTGTAGCTATAATGCAATGACCTGATTCTGTGTTTCTCCACATTCAGATTTTCCCTTTCACAGGCCACAGAATCAGAACCTTTAAATGGCTGTTTCACAATGTTTACGCCATGATGAATGAGTTAAGCTGTTACAGCTTATTGGGCCAAAACATAACTTGGCCCCTCCCCTTGTTTGCAGAATAAATATAACATTTTGTAGAAGGTTGTAGTGACGTACTTTTTCAAAGAAAAATCAATGTGCAACAGTGTTGTGTGTTATTATCCCCTCCTCACAGAGGCAGTGTTGTAGGTGGCAATTGCTGTACAATGTTCAGTAGAAAACAGGGTTTCTTTTCTTTGAGGGTGGGGCAGTGTTTCCAACAAATGGGGCTAAAAAGATGCAGAAAAGGGAAGGGAGTGTTTTTCACACATTAAAAGATTCAAGATTGCTCCCTATTGCCAGTTTAAAACCAGGAAGGCTAATTTCTGTGTTCACATATATTTGCCCGCTGTCAGCAAAGTGCATACCAGTATTCCTGAGGGTGCAGAAACACTCTCATTCCTGTTCAGTTGCACAACTCCTTTCTAGGGTGCTTTGTAAATGGATAACCATGTGAGAGAGAAACATTTTTACGGCACGTCTTTACACCACCCTACCCCATGAGTGTATATTAATGCAGGAAAAATGAAATTTAAAATACTGTGAACGCAACTTGGACCAAAATGATCAAGTCTCAATGCATTTCAGTTTCACATTGTTTGATTTTTTTTGTCTGTCTCCCTTCCTTGGGAGAGAAGAGGATTGGTAGTATCACTTCTGTTCTTGTAAGAGCAGAAGATGTAGTGTCAATTAGTGCAGGATTTTCTGTGAATTTCCCGTTTGTTTCATGCCCTTAGCATGTGGGGCTGACTCTGTATCAGGAGTTAATTTAAAGCTTAACGTATTCCTTTCAGAAGACTAATGAACTTTGCTCATGAAATAAGATAGAGGAGGATGTATGTACACTGGGGTAAGCACATACTTCTGTGAAACAGAGGTCAAAATCCTTGAATTGAAAGGATTTGCTGTGTTCTGCCTGTTTGTCCAGTTCACTGAATTCACCATGTGAGTTAAGGGTAAACTACAAAGCAGCTGAACTGTTGAATCGCCAGTTGCATCAAATCTTGTGATCCTATGATGTATTCCATTACTGATCCATTTGACTCTATACCTGGTGTGGAAGGGGAGCTGCTGACATTGGTTTTATGCTAATACCCAGGACAGCCATTGCTGGAAATAAAAGCAGAAAGCCAGTCCAGTAACACAAGTGGAGAAAAACTCTTGGATCTCAGAGCAGCCTTGGGAAAGTGCAAGAATGTGGGTCTGCGGTTAACTGGAAAGCTGAAACCAGTTAAATTTTAATTAAAGCTTTTTTCCCCTCTGTTACACAAAAACAGAACGAGTGAGGCATTTGAGAAATTGAGCTGCAGTGTCTCTTCTCCACCCCTTGGGGTGCTCTGTTGCTCTCTCAAAATAATCCCAAATCCCAGTTTCCACTCTGCAACGATGGAGTGTCAAGCCAGGGTGCATATGGCAAAGCAAAAGGGGCAGGTGCACAGAGACTCTTCAGTTTGGATGGAGCATAGCCTACACAAGAGTTCGTGCACAGGCTCAACAGGCCTGAAAAATAATTTTGAGGTATAGGCTGAAGTGTTCCAAGTAGTGGGGGAAAAGAGATCCACAGATTCAAAAATGGTTAATTGAGTTGGGAGGGGTACGCTCCTTTTTTGCCAAAGCTAGCCATGTTTAAAAAAGGCTTGATACTGGACAATAAAAAGGGAATCCTCAACAAGAAATCATATCCCAGAACTCGAACATAGCCATGTACGTTGCTGTGTCAAGTACTTGCTTTCTATCTGGGCTTGATAATGGACTAGTGTGCTTCACAAACCCTAGGTTGAGCACAGATTATATAGAAAAACTCTCTTCTAGAGGATGAGTTTTCATTGCCCTCTTCATTTTCACACACCACTTGAGTTGGAGAATGGGGTGCAAGAGGGCAGTAGTGAGGACATAAGTATTTTGTAGGCAGTACAAAATCTTGCCACATTAAAAACAAAAACCCCTTACCTCTGAGAGTACCCACTTTGTTTCTTCCTTGTTCTCAACTTTATATAAAAGGAGGGATACAAGGAGCTGATCTCGTGTCTGTTTGCTGTTTCTGTTTGTACCATCGCATCGGGTGTGCAGAATGATTTACATTTTATGCCTGTTTGTGGAGGGCTCTTGATCTAGAAGCTGGCCTGAGGGCCCAGGTTAATGCCCTTGAAACTAGTGCTAAGGTCAGACTGGTAACTCACACGTCTCCTTGTCCAGGACTCAGTCCAGCTGAAAGATCTGTGGAAGAAAATCTGCCATCACAACAATGGGATGGAGTTTCAAGATCATCGCTATTGGCTGCGGACGCATCCTAACTGCATTGTGGGAAAAGAGCTGGTCAACTGGCTCATCAGAAATGGGCACATAACCACAAGGTAACCTTGATGCCTTAGGACAGCAGGTGTCTTCTGTCCCTGGGACATGAGGTTGTGAGTTCTAGCTGATATAGGGTACCTTACTTAGACTGCAGAGATACACTCCTTTACTGGGACAAGAGAAAGAAAGAAAATTCAGATCTCTTCTTTATTGCCTACCAAAGCAAGTAGGGTTCTAACTCCATGTGGCTCAAAATAACAGGGCACAGGAACCTGTCTGGTTTGGCAGCCAGTGTGGGAGGCAGCTTATGGGACAATTATCACTCAAACAGTTGGAGAACAGTGAGTGTTTTACAAAGACTGTCCAAAAATGTTCACTGATACTCCAAAGGGCAAGTCTGCCCCTGGGATCAGAGATCACTAATAGTGTTTGATAGCTAAATTTTTGGTGGGGCTGGCAGGCTCTTAACCTTGTAAGCGAGTATAAAGAATCTGGGGTGTTTATGTGAGAGAGGATAAAACTTAGATGGTTCTTAAGTGTAGAGCAACAGTCCTCACTCAGCAGAGATGCTCAGTATGTATAAATCAAGCTCACAATATTGGAGGAGCACAAACACTATGTCTTAATTGTCTGTTGGACACTTCAGCCGAGTTTAGAGTACTGGCAGTCTCTTTGTCTAGCTCCATACTTGAACAAGTACACTGTGCTGCCTCTACACAGTATCTTTAATAATGTCTGGTTAAACATGGCAATGGGATACTGGTGAGTCAAATAGGGCGTAGCCAACTGACTCTTTCCTTTTGTAGCATGCTTGTACCATAAACCATGTGTGTTTAGAACTAGACTTAGAAAGCCATCTCTATTCTTATACCTCCAGGGTCCAAGCCATTGCAATAGGACAAGCGTTGGTTGATGGACGCTGGCTAGAATGTGTCAGTCATCATGATCAACTCTTCAGAGATGAATATGCCCTCTACAGACCGTTACAGGTAAGAAGAGTAGGAAAGCTATGGGCCCTCCTGGGTTTGGTTGCTCATGAGAATCTTTTCTAATCGTGTTCTCAGCAGCCATTGTATGTTTTTTAAATCAGCTCTCCTGTACAGAGAATTGGGATCCAGGCCTTTTTTCATAGTGGTTTTAAAGCCTGAGGAAGCCTCATTTGCCTAGAAAGCTTTGGACCTGTCCTCTGTGGAGGATGAGTTATTGCGCATAGTGCTGCATAAAATCTCCAGTCGCCTCTCATGGTGAACATCTTCCATGGAGGCCTTGCAATGGCACAGTCTGTGCTTGTGGCAGCTGTGCTATCATGTGCAGAATCCAGAATCTGTGTGCGATTACTGATGACTGAGACACAATGGTGGTCTTCTGCTTCAAAATTCCTTCTTTAAAAACATCCAAAGAGTGGATGTCTTACATATACAGTATTGGATCTTCTTATATATTGTATTGGTAACCACCTTCTGATGTCCAGTGATGGCAGTAGTAAAGAATTCAGTACCTTAGCCACATGATGCAACACTGGGAGGGAGTCTTCATCATGTCTCCCAAACAGAACTGACAAGCTGAGGGGGAGGCAGGGAACCAGTGACCAGAGATGCTATCCTACTGTATTTCATTGCAGTCAGACTTGCTGAGGGGTAACAGCAGTCACTGGCCTGAGTGATTGGATTGGGTTTTTTACCTTGAACAAGATATCTCTGTCACCTGAAAGTATTTAGTTGACACTCTGCCATGTTCTGCAGTTTCTCACAATAAAGAATGGCTCAGCTGTCCCAGAGACCTCAGTCAGAAAGCTAGCAGCCATTAGGAGATTGCTGTGGGCTTCATCTGGCATCTCAGCTAGTTAACTGCACTGTCTCATTTTGGTAGTAAAAACTTGCCCTTAACTAGCAAGTGCTTGTGGATCCCTGTTTGCGGCTCTTTGTAAGGGGCTTATGTTATTCAAGGTTTAAAGCCAATTGTTGCTTTGTTTGTTTTTGTTAGCTGAAAGCACTGTCTGATCTCACTTCTCCTGGATAAGAGTCAGGAGAAACAGTGCTGTTGACTCAGTTGCTTGCTGCACTTGTAGCCAAAGGAATGATAGTGCGAACTTCCTCTTGAGGTGACTAGAGGTATCAGGATGGCTGATGGAAATTGCTTAGATGCTCGCCAGGTTCTAAGCAAAGGCTTTGCTTTTCCAGGTTTGAACCTTTTTCCAGGTTCAAACAAAGCCAGGCTTTGTTTGGACACAGTAGCCCCAGGCAGAGCCTGACTTGAGTGAAACTCTTAGAGCTACTTCGATCAGTCACAGAATGGCTCCAGTAACTTAGAATTAGCCTCCACCAAAAGCTGCATGTACTTGTTTGTGGGCAAAGGATATGGTCATCACCCGCCTTGGCTGGTGAAAGGAATTCTCAGCTACTTAGCTGGATGTGGTGACAGAAAACAAGCAGTAGAATAAGTTTGTCCTTTAGTGCCACTTAGTCACGACTTGTGTGGAGGTAGGGAGGAGGCAGGGACTAAGCATGTGGGAAGTGTAAAGAAATACTTGTTTCCTGTCCCAAAGAGTTCCTATTTCATGCCAAGGAGAGTGGCTCTATGACTAACCTGGCTCAGCCCACTGAGAATATTGTCTGATTTTTGTAATGCCTGATCTGCATTTGTAACAGGCTGCTTTCTAAGGCTGCTTAATATTTCAGAAGAGCTCACTTTAACACCTTTTTTTCTTCCTTGTCGTCTAGAGCACGGAGTTCTCAGAGACCCCATCTCCAGACAGTGACTCTGTGAACTCTGTAGAGGGGCACTCTGAGCCATCCTGGTTCAAAGACATCAAGTTTGATGACAGTGACACAGAGCAGATTGCTGATGAAGGAGAAGATAACTTAGCCAGTGAGTTTCACCGGAGTCTTGTTCTCACTCTGCTTTCTCCCGTTATCCCCAGTCCATTGGGACACAGTAGTTTAACCATGTCTTGCTTTACGTGTGTGTGTGTGTTTCTGTGTGTGCACGTGGGGCTGTAAGGATCTAAGCAGACTATAACCTAGCTAGTCCTCCTCTTTCTTATGATGGATACTGTATTTTGTATTTAGTGGAACTGGTGAAGCTTCGTACTTCTAATGGAGGAGAAGCATGTAAATTGCTTTCTTCTGTTTCTCAGGCAGACTTCTGCTTGATTTGGGCCCTATAGTAATGCACTAAAGAATGCCCAATATATCAGCATGCACACATGAAGATAAGAATAGAACTATGAAAATACTGTATTCCTGTAGTATTGCACACTGGTCTTTATGTATTAAAGACGATTTTTCTCCTCTCCGGTACCCTCATGATACCCATTTGAACCCTTCTCCTCCCTGTATCTTCCCCCTTACCCAACACTAAAAGACTCCGCCAGCCCTAGCAAGCGCACTTCAGTCAGCAGCTTCCAGTCCGCAATGGACAGTGATTCAGCCGCCTCCATCAGCCTGAACGTGGAGCTGGACAACGTGAACTTCCATATCAAGAAGCACTCCAAGTACCCACATGTGCCCCCTCACCCTGCCGACCAAAAAGGTATGAGGTAGTCACCAGCTGGAGTTGCACATGATGGAGAGCTGGGCCCTAATAATACTGACCTATTTGGACACTACTTTTGTAGCTGTCTTACAGAGGGGGAAATATGATATTTAGCTGGCGCTTGCTTGCAGTTTTGATGTGATTACCTCTGAGGAGGCTCAGTAGACCTGTTGAAACACCTTCTCTGCAGAGTGTGTAACTTCCCCTGTGACTTTCTCTTTGCAGTTGAAGCAAAGTCTCCTGCCCATACATAATAGGGCAGATCCACGTATACAGTTTCTGGCTAACTGAGGTGGAAAAATAGTCTGTGCATAAACCAGTTTGATATATCTCTACAGTTTGAGATTAAACCGGAAAAGCAAGCAAGAAAAAAAACCCCAAGCAACAAACGAACAAAATTAACTTGCAAGAGCTCTGTGCTGACTTGTGATTGTACCTTAATAAGCTTACATTTGACAGAAGAATCTTACTGATGAGCAACAACACCTAACTTAATTCCTATATGTAACATTTGTTCAAAAAAGAGCACCCACTTAAGCCAGGTAGGAAGAAATAAAAAACTCAGTGTTGAAGACTTCTTTTAAAGTTTTTTCTCCTAAATAAGTACTAAATTGAAAGATTGTAACTGTAAGCAAAACCCTTATGGAAAAAATATGGTGCCTGCCTGTTGACAACCGCATTCTCTAAATTGGACAAGAGCTGACTGAAACCAGGGCTTGCCACTGGTTTAGGTCTAGTATATTCTAGTTGCTTTACCTGCTGGATAGCAATTGATATCTTTGCTCTGCTTCCTTACCTAAGGTTACATCAGCTTTGTAGACCTCTATCTGTGGCAGCTTCTAAGGAATTTCTTATTCATAGAATCATAGAAT